ATAATGTACCAAAGGATCTTTTGATCCCAAAATCTAGACGGTCCTCTCACAATAGCAAATTGGGCTTGCAAAATCCCGAAAGCTCTCTCCGCATCTTTCCTAGCCGCCGCGGGGATAGACAGGGGAAGCGCCGACGGGTCGCCGGAGCAAATGGAAAAGGTGCAGGCGGCGGCACCAGCGCGTGGATCTAGTAGTTGGTGAAGTCGCGCGTGAGTAATCACTGCCAGCGTGCGGGAGTGGGCGCACGAAATAAGCGCCGCGCGATGCCATTTTCCTTCGCGCGCTGAACCCATTATACCGCGTGCGCGTTTTTTGCGTGGCTGCTGGAGCACCCGTTTCGACTCTGCGCGCGCAAAAATCTGTTTTTTTCCAGCGCCCTATTGAGATTGCGCGCCTGTTGGAGACGCTCTCATATGCTGACAACTGCACTAAATCAAGATCAACACTAAATCATTTCAATGGGAGATTCCATTTTCAACCCAACATGCATCCCCATGTACTCCCCTCAGTCATTTTGCACGATTGGGTCATGGACCGGTAGATCTGAGGCCGTCCACTTTTCCTGAGATTCGTTAAACGGTATGACTCACCTAGATGTATAACACCAGTATATTTCTTGCATCTTTATTTTTGGTCAAATCAGTGACAACATAATAGGCCTCAAAGTACACATTTTGTCAGGGACGATACGCATGCAAGACTCTCCTTTCACTCTACCCGCGGAACAGATCCATAGACTTTATTTTCTCTTAGACAATTTAAATCAACCAAATCTTTTGAACTACAGACTCTTTTTTTGAAAGTTTTTATATATTTAGACTCCTGACATCAAGAACTTTGAAACTAGACCAATTTTGGATATATTTCAAACACATTAAATTTTTGACGTTTCACATTTCATACGTGAAATAAACCCACTTCACTAGAAAAAATCTGAAACTAACATATTTCACTAGAAATAAGTGAATAACATTTTTCACATAAACGTATTAAACCCAAATATGAAACTCAAATGTCAACTTGTGAAACTAATTATTTGGAAGTGTGTAACATTTTTATTTCGAAAGAGTAAAATAAGTTATTTCATAAATGTGCAATTGAAATAGATGTGATTTTTGTGAAAGAAGCCAATGAAAAGTAAAATGCACCTACTAAAAGTAAAAAAATGTGAAACTAAAATTTCAACTTGTGAAATTGAAAATTATGAAATGTGTAACGACTTACTTCAAAAGAGTGAAATATGCTTTTTCAATATTATGATATTGAAATAGGTGTAATTTTTGTGAAACAAGCTAGTCCAATGTGAAATGTAGGTTCTGAAAGTGAAAAAAAATATGAAACTGAATGTCAACTTGTGAAATTAATTTTTTTGAAATCTGTAATGATTTATTTTAAAAGAGTAAAATATGCTTTTTCAATAATGTGAAATTGAAATAGATGTGATTTTTGGGAAACAAACCAGTGAAAAGTGAAATGTAGGTTCTGAAAGTAAAGAAACAATATGAAACTGAAATGTCAACTTGTGAAACTGATTATTTTGAAATGTGTAACATTTGTTTAAATAGTAAACTATGTTATTTTAAAATTAACTGAAATATATGTGATCTTTGTGAAATGTGGCTTTTGAAAATGTCAATAATATGAAGTGAAATGTCAACTTGTGAAATTGATTAGTTGGAAATGTGTAACTGTTTATTTCAAATGAGTGAAGCATGTTATTTTTAAAATATGAAATTGAAATAGATGTGATTTTTGTGAAACAAGCTAGTGAAAAGTGAAATGGGGTTCTGAAAATGAAAATAATATGTAACTGAAATGTTAACTTATAGAAATGATTATTTAAAAATGTGTAATAGTTTATTTCAAAAGAGAGAAATATGTTACTCCAAAAATGTGGAATTGTAATAGGTATCATTTTTGGGAAACAAGCTTATGAAAAGTGATATGTGGGTTCTGAAAATACATATGAAACCGAATTGTCATCTTATGAAACTGATTATTTTTTAAATGTGCAACAATTTATTTTAGAGGAGTGAAATATTTTTTCAAAAATGTGATATCAAAATAAATATGATTTATGTGAAATGTGTTTCATGAATTTTAAACCGATTTAAAATATACCCAAAATTGGTCTTGTTTTAAAGGTCTTTGCGGCAGGAGTTCAAATATATAAAAAGTTTTGAAATCAGAATTTTGGTTTATGAGGTATTAATGATTTAAGTTACTAAAGGTGAAATAAATGGATGAATTAGTTTGGAAGAGAGAAGAGAGAAAATGGCAACACATGCATGTGAACCCCTATACCATCTAACTAAAAGCCGACTCTGATGGGACCTCGCGTACTGAATTGACATGTTTGATAGGTGTATATTCTCAAAGCAAAATGACTAGCTTTTTATATTGCACAGCGTTGCACTAATCTTTGGACATGACGAGCGGCTAGCGATCTGCCGCTAGGTGCCGGAACCGCTCAATTTTCTGCTTCGATGTATTCCCCTGTTGCTATATATATTTTTATTGAAATTTCTAAAAACACTTACATTTAGGAACAGAAAGAGTAATATTTTTGTTCTGCTCTTGTTCTTTGTTTTCCTAACTTGATTCCCCTGCTTTCTCCAACCGCCTTTTGTTTCTTGTGCTGCATTCATAAATGGAAGAGCAGCATGAAATGAAGTTGATTGCCTTAGAGCATTTACAGCCGGGTGCCTTAAACCCCCCTCAAACGTCCGGGCAGACGGTCCGATCAGTAACCGGTAAAAAAAAGCATCCAGACAGAAGCTTCAAAGCGGCCTCAAACACCCGGGCTGGCCGACATCCCTCGTATCCAACCCAAGTATGGGGCGGATATCGGACAGCCCAGGCGTGTCCGTCATGTCGGAACTGACAGCCTGACCCCAGCAAAAATTGCACCAAATCCCCCTGACCTATCCGATTTCACTTGCGTCGGAATGCACCTTGCCCTCTATGTATTCGATACATTGTGTTTGTCATGATTTTTTCGTAGGAGCTTGATGAGAATAAATAAAAAAAAGTTCTCATACTTAAAAACCTTTCTCACTCGTAGTCTTAGTAGCGGCCATCAATGCACGTCTTGCGAAGGATATGAGCTCCTTCACAGAGCGAGTATTGATAGCACCTATTAAGAGAGAGTAGATTAACACTTTTGCCTAATGTGGCCATTTAAGCCGGTCGCGTCCTTCCTCCGGTGACGAGGTGGGACTAAAAACCCCCAACCAGGGCGGTTCAATACGGATGTTTCTATACTAGAAATCCTATGAACAACCCTTTTGGTGTTTACACAACCTCGCCGGTCCAACATGGACTAAAACATTCAAAACGATCAACGTGCCTATCTTTCCATGTATTAGGTGTTTTGAATATAGGGTTTACGGTTGAAAAAAATTGAGACCCGCCCGGTAACTGTCTGCGGGCTTGTCCGCGGACGTATAGGGACCCAGATTTGCCTATCGTGACTGTAGATGCTCTTATGTGTGAAGTGTCAAGGACAAAAAAGTGGATTAATTAAGCAGCATCAGTGCAAAAAAACAAAGTAAGGACAAATAAGCAACAACACGCGGTAAGATATTCTCTATCTTTTCGAAACGGGCAAGATATTCTCTATCAAAGCGTCAAAACACATATGTTCACAGTTTGAGGTTTGCCAAGTGGCTACTTTGCTTCGACCATCATTGATTATTCAATCGCCTAGCCCCACTCCCGCTTGCAACGCGCCCCGCGCGCGCATTACGGGAGCCTGTGCTCCGCCACTGCAAATGGCACCGTCCAGTTGGGGAGACTTGAGTGAACCTTATTCACTGGACTGGCGCCACCACCACCACCAATAAGGTGCCACCAAAGGAGACTTTATTGAGCACCGCCACCACCACCACTGGAAGGGCCAAAGCAATGCACAACAAAAACCTGCCTAAAAGCCTCAAATCAGGGAAAGCTACAACTTCATCCAGTAGATATGGACCTCTCTGCACTCCCACATCGACAAAGCCCGTGGAGGAAAAGGGAGTCGCGAATTGTTGGCGGAGGAGAGGTGGTGGCACAATGCGTCCATGAATCACCTCTCCCAAGGTTTGGAGAGGAACGGTTGGGGAAAAGGATGGCTTCTTCCATGCCACTTCGATATTTGTTGTTTTTATCTTGAAACTTACTTTTGTAATGATTGAGTTCTGAATTTCTGATCATCCATGCACCAATGAGATTGGGGCTTCACGCAGACACAAATGGGCAGCCATGTTAGCTCTATCTATGAACATGATTGAACTGAAAGGAACTAAGCTCTTGAATTTGGTTCATTCTCCCTGCAGGTCTTCTTCCACAGTTTGACGTATCGAAGATCTGATATACTTCCTTTTCCTATATATACTCCCCTGTTCGAATATAAGTGGTGTGGTTTAGTTCAAATATTGAAATAAAACCACGCTACTTATTTCCGAACGGAGGTAATATTTCACAGTATAGAAATTTGCATATGAAAAAGATGGTGGAAACACAAACACTGAAGTACATGAACAAGTCCAATTGCTGTACTAGTACCATTATTAAATTTATAAGTATTCATGAAATCTGCACCAGCTAACAGGACATTTTAACCATCAATTCATCCATCACTCGAGATTTCTGTTGCTTAGAACATTTGTACCAGTACATATTTATCATCAACTCCGGATTTTGGAAGAAAAAACGCACAAATTGAGCACTGTAACTCAATAACAACTGAGCATCTGTAAACAACAGCACTGTGATGGGTCTCTCAACACTAGTACATCACAATTTACACATCTCTGATTCTCTGAACGTGTGCATAATTCAGAAAAGCAGGCCAACACTAATGGGTGATCCGGCGACCAAGTTCTACTTGATGGCTCATCCAAGCACAGTTACATCTGGAGAGTTTATCCTAGCATTTACATAGATAGCTCATCCAAGCGCAGTTACATCACGAGAGTTTATCCTAGCATTTACATAGATGGCTCACGAGAGTTCAACTACACTTGTTGTGCTGCGTTCCACACGGCGAGTGGAATTTTGAGTAGATTCTTCTGCGGCATGGCCGGCGGGATGAACTTGGTCCTTGGTGCCTTCTTTTCGACCTTTGGAGCGGCGGCGGCTGTACGAGGAGCAGCAAACCATCGGTGCTTGAGCGCCGTGGCCGCCGTCAGTCGCTGGTTGGGGTTGCACGTGAGAAGGCCTTGCAACACCTGGAACCCATGCTCGGACAGCTTCTCTTGAGGGAACAGTTCCCGCAGCTTGTCGTGCTTGTGCCCCCGCGGTAGCAGTTTCAGCGCCTTTGCGGTGAGCGGCAGCGACGTGAACTCCGGCCACGTCCTCTCGTCCGGCGTCCCGAGCAAGCGGAAGATGCTCCAGAGCTGGACGATCTCATTGTCTGCGGCGTCGTCGTCATCATCGCCGAGGAACAGCGTCTTACCGGTGAGCATCTCGGCCATGACGCAGCCGATAGACCACGTGTCCACGAGCGCGTCGTAGTCCCGCTTCCCCAGGAGCACCTCGGGCGCCACGTAGAACGGCGTGCCGGCCTGGTTGTACGGCGGCAGCTCGGACATGGAGATCGCCAGCCCAAAGTCGCAGATTTTGACGAGCTCCCCGTCTTGGCCGACGAGGATGTTGCCGGGCTTGATGTCGCGGTGGACGACGTGGCGGCCGTGCATCGTCTTGGCACCGGTGAGGAGCTTCCACATGATGGCGCGCACGGTGGACTCCGGGAGCGGCTGGCCGCTGCGCCTGTTCCGCAGGAACTTGTGGAGGCTCGGCGCGGCGACGTACTCCATGACGAGGCCGAAGGCGCCGTTGTCGGGGTCGCGCACCAGGCCCTCGAAGCCGACGACGTAGGGGTTCCCGTCGCAGGCCTCGAGGAATCGGGCCTCCCGCAGAAGCTCGGCGGCGTCGGGGGGCTGCTGGGACCCGTCCGGCCAGTGGAGGTACTTGATGGCGACGATCTTGCGGGTGTCGCGGTGGCGCGCCAGGAGGACGCAGCCGAAGCCGCCCTCGCCGAGGCGGGTCTCCTCCTCGTACTCCTCGGTGCTTCGGATTCTGGTGCGGCTCCTCTTGCAGGACGCCGACGATTGTCTACTCGTCGTGGTGGTGGCGTGACCGGCGTCGAGGACGGCGGCGGGCGGCTTGCGGGGGGGCATCGCGCTAGCTCGGCGCAGCGAGCCGCGCGCTTTGGTTGCTGGAGAGGGGATCCGCGCGCGGTGGAGGCGGGATCGCCGGACGAGGGGAGGTGGGTGTCGAGCGGATGGATCGATCGACGAAATTCGGGGTGGAAATATACGCAGGAGCGGCCTCGATTGGAGTCGGATTCAAATTCGAGTCGAAATTACGCCCTGGGCGATCGAGTATCCACAGACGACAATCCGAGTTACGGTCGCGAATTTCGTTGGCTTGCCGCCTGCGTTTTCAAAGCGCCGGTTAGCTGTGTACAGCAGACGCGATGCTGTTTCGGGGTCTGAATGTCTTATTTTTTTCTTCCTTTTCCTTGGCGGTTGCGTTTTGGCTTGCAATCTTCGATTCCCAATCGAGAACCATGATTACATTTCCCTTCGGTTCATATCAGCCTTTTGCACTTGCCCATCACAATGTAATGTAATAAACAAATTAAAGATCTCTCATCTTTTTTTGTTTGTCTTAGTGTCATGATCAGGAAATCATGCAAATTCAGAGTCGGATTGCAAGAAATAGCCCCGAGTTCAGAGGAAACTAGATAGGGTTCTATAGCTTGAAAAGGGGAATAGTGCCAACCACTTAGTGACGGCTAGAGTTACAACCCGGATAGTGAACATCTAACTGAAGAAGATCTTTATAGTGTAGATGCAGGAAAAATACCCCTCTCTGAAGATCAAACTTGCCCTCAAAGCTGGAAAGCAGGAAAAATCTTCTAGATAAAAGCAGAGTCCTTTCACGTTGCCTCCTTAGTTGTCACATTAACCCATTGCACCAACCATTGTACTATCACTACTGGTACACTGAAATCTCCTTGTGGCCTTGGCAGGAATGAGTTTTCTTACTAATACCGCTTCTGGCTCCATTATGATGTGTCCTTGATCATCAACCAAGGGCATGTGTGGAGTAAAAATCACTTCAGGGCCACTGTATTACTTAAGTTGACTTACATAAAAAGTAGGGTGTAGTTTACAACCTTCTGGCAACAACAGTTTGTAAGAGGACTTTCCAATTTTCTTTAGTCTTCTGAATGGGCGATAGAACTTAGAGTGTAGTTCAAATGTCTGTGAAAGCTCATTAAAGTATGCCTATAAGGTTGGATCTTTAAGTGGACCATTGTACCCATGAGAAATTCTCTAGGAATTCTTTTTTTGTCAACAAATTGTTTCATTGACATATGCTCTTAACAACCTTAAGCAATTGAGCGGCCATTTATGTGTTTTGCACTAAGTTCGCTGAATCTAGTGAAATGAATTCATGCCGACTAGTTTTTGCTATGAGTGGCGGGGAAAATCCATACAATGCCTGGAAATGTGTTAGTTTTAAGGAATCACTCTACTAGAGAGAGCCATGAGTGCCACTTTTTTGGATTTTCAAAAGCTGTGACCTCAAATATGATTCCAGACACCGATTGACTCTCTTTATTGTGTTGTCAGATTGAGGGTGATATGAAGTACTCATATAAAACTTGATTCCAAGTATCTCAAACAAGGATTGGCACAAGTGATTTGTGAAGATTCTATATCCGTTGGTTACTACCATAGCAGGTAATCCATGCAATTTGAATATGTTGCCTGGAAAGGCCTTTGCAACGGACTGTATTGAAGTGGGGTTTTAATAGAGATGAATGAGAATACTTAGTGAATCTACCCACCACCACTAAAGTCAGGTCCTTATGTTCAAACAGAGGCAACCCTTCCACAAAGTCCATGCTTACATGGCACCAAGCAAGGTCAGGAATTGGAAGTGACTGCAACAATCTAGGGTAACGGGTATGCTTTGCTTTATTTATTTGGCATAGATGAGAAGCTTGGACATATGTAATTACATCTTGTTTCAACCCTGCGCAACGGAACAATAGGTGTAATATCTGATAAGTTGCATTTTCACTAGAGTGTACCCCTAGTTCAGACTTATGAAAAGCTTGTATCAGCTCATGTCTAAGATTAGTAGTGCTACCAACCAAAAAAATTATTTTGTATCTGAGAATGCCATTTTTTAATGTGAAATGGGTTTTTTATCTGCCTTAATTGCCAATTGTTAGTGCATTTCTAGTCATTTTGATAAGACTTGACCACATCAATGATCCATAGAGGAAGAAACGGTACTGGCAATCAAACTGTTCACTATGTGTTTAACCCTTGAGAGAGCATATGCTACTCTATTTTCCCTTCTTGTATTGTACTCAACATTATAGTTGTATTCCAACAATTTTATAATTAATTTATGTTGGATGCCCCTAGTGAGCTTTTGCTCTTGCATGTATTCTAAACTCTCTTGGTCAGTTCTGATTCTGAGGGAAGAGGCCGCAAAATAGTGCTTCCACATTTTTAATGCTTCTATAATTGCTAGTCCCTCTTTGTCATTATTAGTGCTTTAAGTCCAATGCTCTTGCTCATGTAGGCAGTCGGCTTGCCCTCTTGCATTAGGACTGCTCTTAGACCATACCCACTTGCATCTTCTTCCAATACACAGGGTTTGTAAAAGTTTGCGAGAGCTAGAACATGAGTTGATGTGAGCTTCTCTTAAGTGTGGTAAATGTTGCTTGTTGTGTATCAGACCATACAAAGGAGTCCTTTGTGAAAGAGTCAAATAGGGGTCTATAAATTAGCCATGATTTTCTATAAATCTTTTGTAATAGCTCGTTAACCCCAAAAATCCTCTCAAGTGAGTGACATCTTTGGGAACATGCCAATCAACCATAACTTGTATTTTAATAGGGTCAGTAGCAACTCCACCTTCTTGTATTGTATATATGTCCCAAATACTCCACTTTTTTCTGGCCAAAGGTGCACTAGTTGGTTAGCTCTGAGTGTACTAAACACTTGCTTGTAAACTAGAATATCATCAAAGAATACTACCACAAAATTTCTTTAAAATGGCTTCAAGTTTGAGTTCATGAGAGATTGAAAAGTGAAAGTGCAACTATCCCTGAGTGGTTTTGGTAATTATTAACAACATATAGCTCATTGAACTAATACTATTTCAAGATGATCATTTCAGAAAGTTTAATGATTGGCATGGCATGGATTAAGAATGTGGACCCTTCAAAATGCTAAGAACACATATTGGCTCAAGCTCAAGACTCTATCTTTTTCATTTTAGTGATCCAAGATCACATTGAGTCCATAGGAAAAGCCAATACTATTTTTTTGAAGGAAAAAGCCAATACTATTAAAAGGGGATGAGGTGTTGCTTAATGGCTTACTTGCTCAAAATGCTTAGTGATATGCTCCAAAACCCCTCAACCACTTTCTCATATTCACATATGTCCCAAACCAAAAGTCAAATTCGGCCCCACCGAATTGTTCTATCCGGCGCCACCGAGGTTACTTGACATAGCCACTGCCAGAAACCCTAGTCATATCAGTCATACCGATAGGGATCTTGGTCTCACCGAGATGGGATTGCAAACTCTCTGTTTCCCTTCGTAACGTTTCGGTTCAACCGAGATGAGCGATCGGTCTCACCGAGTTCGCAATGCAAACTCTCTGTTTTCCTTTCGTAACGTTTTGATCTCATCAAAATGAGCGATTCGGTCCCACCGAGTTTGCCTGACCAACTCTCTGGTTAGCTTATAAACAAAATTGGTCCCACCGAGTTTGTGTAATCGGTCTCACCGAGATTACGTTATGCCCTAACCCTAATCAAATCGGTCCCACTGAGTTGACATGTCGGTCCCACCGAAAAGCTTAACATTCACATTTTGAACTGAATCGGTCCCACCGAGTTTTCTGATTCGGTCCTACTGAGTTTGGTGAATTGTGTGTAACGGTTAGATTTTGTGTAGAGGCTATAAATACCCTTCCACCCACTCTTCACTCATGGGGAGAGCCATCAGAACATGCCTACACTGCCAACATTCATTTTCTGAGAGAGAACCACCTACTCATGTGTTGAGACCAAGATATTCCATTCCAACCATATGAATCTTGATCTCTAGCCTTCCCCAAGTTGCTTTCCACTCAAATCATCTTTCCACCAAATCCAAATCTGTGAGAGAGAGTTGAGTGTTGGGGAGACTATTATTTGAAGCACAAGAGCAAGGAGTTCATCATCAACACACCGTCTATTACCTTTTGAAGAGTGGTGTCTCCTAGATTGGTTAGGTGTCACTTGGGAGCCTCCGTTAAGATTGTGGAGTTGAACCAAGGAGTTTGTACGGGCAAGGAGATCGCCTACTTTGTGAAGATCTACCCTAGTGAGGCAAGTCCTTCGTGGGTGATGGCCATGGTGGTATAGACAAGGTTGCTTCTTCATGGACCCTTCGTGGGTGGAGCCCTCCGTGGACTCGCGCAACCGTTACCCTTCGTGGGTTGAAGTCTCCATCAACGTGGATGTATGATAGAACCACCTATCAGAACCACGCTAAAAATCTCCGTGTCTACATTGCGTTTGCTCCCTTCAAACTCCTCCCTTTACCTTCATGTGCAATATTTTACATTCCGCTGCTATACTCTTAGACTTGCATGTGTAGGTTGATTGCTTGACTTGTGCTAAGTTGTTAAAATCTGCCAAGACTTAAAATTGGGAAAAGGCTAGATTTTTATTTGGTCAAGTAGTCTAATCACCCCCCCTCTAGACATACTTTCGATCCTACAAAAAGTTGTTGGAGCATTAGTGAGACCAAATGGCACAACCAAGTACTCATAATGTCCAAAGGTGTGTTGAAAAAGTAGTTTTTCCATATCTTCAGGTTTCATTCTGATTTCATGGTAACCACTTGTAACGCCCCGGATATAACTTTCTCAATTCGTACTCCAACTCTTGCCGTTTCCGACGTTAAGTTATATTTATTTCTCGGGTTCGGGTCTTTGTCTCCATGTGTTGTTTTTGTTTTTCATGCATCTCATATCATGTCATCATGTGCATTGCATTTGCATACGTGTTCATCTCATGCATTCAAGCATTTTTTCCCCGTTGTCCGTTTTGCATTCCGGCGCTTCGTTCTCCTCCGGTGGTCATTTCTAGC